GAAGCCATTCAAATATAGACAAAAACTTCAAGAGAGAGAGAGAAATGGGGTTTAATCTCTACTCGGCACAAACTAGGTCATTTCGGTTCAGTTTTATTTCAATAATTCGCTTGACCGTAGGGGTCTTTAGCATTGGGAGGAAACCGGAGGACCCGGAGAAAACCCACGAGGGTGGACAGGCGACTCTACTCCTTGTCACATACCGATCTTATGATACAGCGCGCACGGCCATCCAATCCCCCGAAAGAAAATTCAAAGTTCCTGAAAACCGTTTTTACTTTAACATGATGATATACAATATAAGACTAAAATGTACAAGTATATGACTCTATATAAAAAGCCTTTGGTGTCTTTTCTGTTATTTTCGTCACCATCAAAGTCAGTATAAAACTGTGTGCTAAACGTATACATATCATCAAATTTTGGATATAGCGTGGTGAGGTCATGGTGGAATGCGGAACACCGTCATAAGTGTGAATTCAACTCATGCGCCCCCAGTACGTTCAAAATCATGGATATTTTCATGCATTTTCATGTTCTCACTATACGCGTATACTACGCCCCCACTATGGGTATGGACATGCGCCATACCCGTGTAGTAGTCCAGGCATTTTAACTCAATTTCGCACCATTTCGGGCAGTTGCTGCAATAGAAATGCCGACCACGTTTTATGGTCGATCTAGACGTATATTATCACCCAAAAAAAGTCTCAGTCCGAAATCCGTGCCCAAATGGGTCAAATTGGCAAAAATCCAAAATGGCCGCCGGTTTTGACTGGAAAATGCCAGTTTTTATCCACTTACCATAATATGATTGAGTTTGGTATCAAAATATATCCTTTCGAGGTAGCTGTATCCATTCCCATACACATTTTGGTGATTAGTTATACCGCGGAGTCAATATTGGGAAATAATTCCAGATGGCGGCCAGTTTTGGCGGGAAAATTCGAATTTTACAAAATTACCACATTTGGTGTCAAAATATATGTTTTGGAGGCAGCTGATCTCATTTTCGACACATTTTTTTCATCTTGGTAATTAACTGATTCCCCTGGATCAAAATAATAGGAAATCCCATTGGAGATTTGGGGATTACGAGTGGTCGAGTTCGCCCCAGATCTAATACGATGGCATTCATCAAGCATTAACTAAATTTCATTTAGACGCCCTGGTCGACCACTGCTCACTACGGAAGCAGCGTAGCAGGCATGACGAAAGGGGTCACTCTCAGCCCACTGTGGACGCAGTGTCGTGGGCGTGTCCGATTTCGATCACCAACCTCGAAAATTGAGCCAAGATGGCCAAACCTATTGAAGCACGTGGCGAATTTATTTCAGAAAATGATTTAAATGTTGAGACAAAGATGGATACAATATCGCCTGTTTGTCAGATATGCAGTGAACTACCCATCGTCATTCCCAAAATGACGGAAAGATAATGAGCCGATTAAGATTCCTGGCTTACGTTCAATAATGAGCGGAGATACCAATTTCAATGGCAGAAAATGTAGGACAGAATAAAACTTGGTGTAAAGTCATGACTAAGTTCAACAATAAGCCAAGGGTGTGCTAGGGCCTCCGAGGGTAGGCAGACCAAAGTTAGGGCACTTTAGGAGGGGTGGAGTAGGATCGGGGAAAATTTGAGTCGCCCGTGTTGCAATTTTCCTAAATTCATTTAGTTAAATAAATAAAACTAAGACAAATTAGTTGATTCTGAATATTATGGAAATATTAATCCGTCTGTAAAATCTATTCTGAAAGTCATCCGTGGAAATCATGGTCTGATTGAGCTTGTATGGGGCCCTTACATCATCAATGAAAAACGGACATTGTAGTATCTCTGGAGTTAGTTGGAACAAGGAAAGGGCAGCAGAAAAAGGGGGCACAATATTCGATGGCACATTTTCGGAAGAGAAGGCACATAGCCACCCCCGCTCCTTCCTATATACCGTGTTAGGAAATCTCATCGGATTCGAGCGTTATCAACCATTTCGAGTTTCTTTTGTTTTTGAATTGATGAGGGCAGGGTAGGCGGTTGACTACCTAGCCAGCATGCCTCTGCAATTAGATTTTTTGCTTAGGTTACACAGAGTGAAGAACAATTTCTGTGCTAGATGTTTTATAGATAAGTTAGATGTGCAAGTAATTAATGAGTGTCATCTATTTAGGGACACCAGCCTCAATGCTGATTTATTAAATACAACTAGATTAATGTCAAGTCGTCATTTGTCCTGTCTTGGCTTGTCCCAAAAATAGGCATTGCGAGTTCTACTGTTTACTGTTGTAACAGCGGTCACCGATTATATATGTTGTAATGGACCGTCTGCTAGTCTTTCCTACAGACCATGTAAAAGACAACGGTCCGCAAAAATGAATTTTGGCACCGCGGACCCTTTAGACCTTGATACAGACTCCTCCACTTCATTAACCTTAAAACATTGACCAATAACTATGGGTTGTTCATTATTAAATGGTTCACTGCATATCTGACAAACAGGTGATACTGTATCCATCTGTGTCTGAACATCTGAATCATTTTGTGCCACGTGCTTCAAAAGGCACGACCAGCTTCCGCAGTGACCTGAGAGTGACCCCAGTCGACATACCCCTATGCCGCTACCGCAGTGAAGTGGAAGACACTCCAAATGAAATTTAGTTGATACTGGATGAAAGTCATTGTATTAGGTCTAAGGTAGGAGTATCATTAATCTCCAATCCCTAATCGGAAATCTAAATCCCAAATTAGAATTTCTCCTATATTGACACAGGGAATCACTTAATCACTAAAATATGTACAAAAATAGATTCAGCTACCTCCAAAACATATATTTTGACACCAAACTTATTCCTTATGTAAAATTCGAATTTTCCCGCCAAAACTGACCACCATCTTGAATAACCTCTAATATTGACCCAGCGGTAACACGTATCACAAAAATGTGTATGGAAATGGATTCAGTTACCCCGAAACGTATATTTGGATACCAAACTCGATCATATTGTGATAATTGGGTGGAAATTGTAATTTACAAGCCAAAAGCGGTGGCCATTTTGGATTTTGGCCAATTTGACCCATTTGGGCACGGATTTCGGACTGGGACTTTTTTTTGGTCATAATATACGTCTAAACCGACCATAAACCGTGATCGGCATTTCTATTGCAGCAGCTGCCCGCACTTTTGCTATCTTGCCTGGACTATAGCGCTGTCCTGGTGGAAGAGCGTGTTGAGGGAGAGCAGGGATAGTGTAGTGGAAGCGTACTAAAACTTAGTAAGAGAGGGTAGGGCTTCGCGGCAGCATGTGCCTGCGCCAATGACCGTGGCTAGGTCGGCAAGAAATTGACCACACGGTCATCAAACCCACAAAACCACACAACGCGCTCGCTACACCTCAGTGCGTCCAAAACAAGCTCTTACCCATGTTTTATATTATATTTGCTCGTAGCGAGGATATCGTAAAATATGAAGGATGTTATACGAAACAGGCGAGATTGGTCCAGAGAGGGCTTAATGAGATCTCTCGGTAATCCGTCGCCAGGGTTTCTTTTCCAACACGACTTAGCTACGTAGGTCTGGCTGATTTTTGAAGTCGTGGCGAGGTCGTGGTATGTGTGAAGGAGAAATATTATTTGTAGCAATTCTTGATGGGGGGGGGGGGGGGCTTCTATCCTAGGTCCTTATAGGCGTCGGTCCAGGGGCCGCAATAACCTGGAGAAAAGAGTACTTGCGACCAAATTATTTGTGGGGGGGGGGGGCTAAAGCCTCCCCTAGCTTCCCCCCCCCCACTCCGCCGGGCCTGAATAGATATCGGTTTCAACAATATTGCATATCAATCGTCATGAATTCTTGAATCGAAGCATGTAATAAACCGATTTGGGGAAATTAGAGGGTTTATGTTGGGACACATTTGCATAACACCGCCCATGTTATACTCCATTTACACCCACATGTATTCTTATTTTGATTATTTCCAATTTACTATTTACTTGATCGTGGCTTTCATATTAAGGATTTACTACGTACAATATTTCTATTTGATATACTAAAATAAGAATAAGGTACAATAGTAGCTATATTTGATATGCTTCTACAAAGTGCAGTATTGTATTTGATAAATATCGTACAGTGATTATATTCCATATATTACGAAGGGCCTACATAATTAATTGAATTTGTTTTACATACTGCATTTGTATTTGATATATAGAGAATCTCCTATGACTCTTTTTGATATAAAAGAGATTAACACAAGTCAATAATGTAAAAAAGAACGAGGCGTTGCCGAATTTTTTTTTTACTTTATCGACTCACAAATAAAAATTTATAATTTTTAAAGCGATATCACCATTATTTGTGTCATCAGTTTTTCGGGAAGTCAATTTTCTGGTGTTCTGTGAATGCAACGGTAAAAGTCTGATTAATTGGTTGATTGGGAGTTCAAATGGGCATTTAGTGGGATTCCGGATGCAAATCCACGGGTTCTCATTCGTTTAAATTGTCTCCTCACCCATATCACTAAACAACACACTTCGCGACTCGACAGGCTTCATCGCTTAGGTATCTACATGGGAAGTTTTAGAGCCAATTCATTGTGCCCCATCTTCTGGTCGGCAAAAACTGCAGAAACTCACACACCATCGTTTACAGGGAGATAACACTGTATTTCGGAATTTTACTTTCATTTGGATACAGACCACCATAAAATTGACCAAGTTAAATACGATCGGGGGGGGGGGGGTATTTTGCAACTGCTAAGTGTTCTTTAAAGTGCATTACAATATGTTAATGCGTAGATCTTGGTTTTTCATCTCATCCAAATGAGACACTTTCTTTTTCAGCCCCACAGATGCCACCGCTGAGAAGTGAAAACCTAGCTTGAAAACTCCTGAAGGTTGTTTTCGGCCCATGCAGTGATACCAACCGAAGACATTCTAGTCACAAAGCCATCCCCCTACTGCAGCCTCCTGACATAAAGAATTATTCAACAAAGTAAAATGTAATATATTAAACTGTATTTTATTTAATGAACTTTCATCTTTGTACATAAAATAAAACTGCATGTATGATACATAATTTATGATGTGAAATTAAACAAATGAAAGGTCAACATAATCAGAATTTTAATTACACATTAAAAAAAATATTACATTAGTTTTTGTTTGTGAACATTCTTGTAACAAAGGTTATTGAAACACCCCAATAGCCTGGGTAAAAAAATAAAATCCACGAAGGAAAAGAAGCTCATGGAACAATTTCTTTACTCATCATACGAATTACTTATATTTGAAACTTGATCTATGCCTAAAATACAATATTTTCAACATATGTTTTTGAGAGCATTACATTAACAAATCAAAAGGAAAGTTTGGTAATATCTACATGTAGATTTGCATGTTACTTTGAATACTGCTAAAAACAACCAAATGCTTGATTTGAGCTTTGTGTTTGACATCTTGCTCTTTATCTCCCATTACTCTATGAGTATGTAACTTAAGGCATGTGCTACATAAAATCGATCCCAAGTAAGACATATCAAGCATAAATTCAATTCCACAGGAACAAATCAGTGGGTTGGCAGTAATAAGTGTGTGTGTTTTTCTAGACAGCCAAAGTTGTATATTGGCTTATCTGCTGTTAAAAATCATATCCCATTAAAGAAAAAGAAAGAGCCTTGTAAGAAATCAAAATGTACTGCTCCTAATTTTCTAAACCTAAGCCATCTGTTTATAATCATTTAAACTTGTTCCGAACATAACGCACAAAATATCTAAAATACACAATTGTAAAATAGATAAAAAAAAGCATGTCAGAATGTAACAGGTAAAAAGCAGAGTCCTTGTTACAAAATATACCTTTTATTGCTCCCTGCTGATACATGGTACCGGCTGTATTTTTCCTTATATCAGCAGAACGTATCAATCTAATAACCAAAATAAATTCTAATATGAAATAAAACTGGGGTGATTTGAGTTGAATATATACAGTTCTAGCATTATATTTTACAAATTTATTTACATTAAAAATATTTTTTTCTGTGTGACTTGTTTGAAAATTGTTAAAAATCAATAGATATTCTTTTCTGTATTTTCACTTCTTGAGATGAGGATACACAATATCTGGAAGACGAGAAAGACAAAATGAACAAGCCAAATCTGTCTTCAACTGCTAAAAAGCTCTTGTAATGGACTTGTTAATAACAGTACAAAATTTCATTTTCTTAATTAAATCCAATCCTGAGAGTTTTTGTGGAACTACAAGGAAACTAGAAGTTTTTTTTTAAGATGTAACAATAATTAATGTACAATGGATTTTTCCTGTGTAAATTTAATGAAGGTATCTCAAGAAATTAGTTTATCAGTCTATAAACAATAGCTGTCTATATGAATGACGTATGATACTGCTGTCTCTATGGTTACTATGCAGCTCATTCATTTAATCTTTTCCAACCCTAATCAACAAAATTTATTGAAATTATTTCAACATGTTCTGTCCATATAACAATTGACTTTTGAGTTTCCTGGTATATTGAGTGATTTACCTCATATATAAAACATGAAAGCTCAATCCTAAAATATGGAGGAGGTTGGATGGCCGAACGGATAGCACATGTGCATGGTATCATAAGGTCTTTCAATGGGTCCGGTTGTTCATGACAAGGAGTAGGGTCATCTGTCCAACCTCGTGGGTTTTCTCCAAGCCCTGTCCTCTCCTCTCACTGCTTAAGATCCCTATGCACAAGCAAATTATAGAAATAAAAAATTGAACCATATGTTAGTCCTGAAATGTGTTGAGTGGATGTTAAACCCCATTTCTCTCTCTCTCAATCCTTAAATAAATTAACATCTAATTTATGTCACACTGCTTCTTTACTAAAGATAAAGAGAGTTTCACTGATATCAGTATATACCTTTAAGCTCTGTAAATATATAATATAATATATTTATATTTATACTTGATAGTTTATAACATAATAAAAGTACAGCTATTTATTTTATTTTTAAGGCATTTTCATACTACAAACCAATTCACAATACAGATTGATTTGCATGTCAAATATTGTACATACATGTAGGCAATATTTAATCTAAACAGATTTTGTAGGGATTGGTGATATCCTTTCAGTTAATGTAACAACTACACGTGTACCCATTTATACTTCAAATACACTTTAATCTGTATTGACTTTTAAGTTTAAGTTCTCTTTAAAAATCTCCCGCCTGTACATATAGTTGACAAGAATGAGTTTATAGATGATGCCTGTCAATGGTTCACAAAATGAAAATAAGTTTAGCACTTTATAGTCTTTTATGATATCCATTAATCATTTGATGATTAAAGTTATGTTCCAATTTTCTCTATTTCATCCATATCTTCAGCATCCAGTTTAGTAATATTGCGTCCTGTAAGACAAACGGGGGAAAATATGTAATTTTGTCCAAAAATTATTTAATGCAATCAATCCTAATCGAAGTTCTGGCATTGGATTCTATTGATTGCACACCACAATCTTTCTGTGTCTTAAGAAAAATAAATTAATAATATTCTATTTTTTTTGTACGTATACCAGACTTTTCTTTATGAATTTTTTTTTTTTACTCTGATGTGCAAGTGAAAAATCCCTAAAGAACTGGAAAGAAAAGCCAAGAACTATTGAGCTGAATGACTGACATTGAATACAACATTATAATCCCATAGTACATGCTGCCATATACAAAATATCTAATCAGTTTTTAGATACAATGTATTGCTTTGTTTGAAATTGGCTACTTGTATGATTATATTACAAATTGATGGATACATTTCAGAACTTACCAAAATGTTTTTCTATATATCGTAGATTATTACGAGATCTCTCACCATCAACAAAATTAATAGCAATACCAGATTTACCAAATCGTCCAGTACGACCAATTCTATGTAAATACGTCTCACAGTCAGGTTTACCGTCAGGAGTAACTGGTAAATCAAAATTTACCACAACTGTTACCATCTCTACATCAATACCTATCAACAGAAATAATCTAATAGAAGAAGAATATGACCAGGACAACGACAATGATGAAAAAATATGATAACTGTCTAAATATGACAGTAACAGTGTACATCACTTAAAGTAACAAAACTTGATTTGTGACAGCATGCATATCTTTTAGTACCAGATTAATCACAGTGTATCATCAAGGCCATGTTCCTGAAGCAACGACTGCGAGTTTCACAACATTTGGCTGTTGTTGCTTGTTTACTTCACAATTCCCGAACTTATAGCTATGTTATCTACAGACACGTGAGCAGTAGCGTCCAATCAGAGATTGTGACATTGCGACCTCCACAGAAACCTTGACATTGAATGAACCTTGAACTTTGCAACTCGATTATCACAGGTAGACATATTAGCTTGAAAGCGCGAGACTTGGTATTCGCGACGATCGAGGAATCCGGTAGGCTCACAAGTTGGGCTTGTACCCAATCGATATTAGTGCCAAAATATGCAGGGTATTACGTGAAGGCCTTGATAAGATGTACGTAGTTAAAGCGAGATCAAGCCTTCTATTGAAGATGCATCAAGGCCAATAACAACTTATTTCTAATACCAATTGACAATAATATTATCATTCATGCAGATCACACCAATCATAGCTTTATACAAACAAGTTAAAAAGTAGGCTGTATGTAAAAAATCTTTTGACAGGAGTCTTTGTTTAGAAGTACATCATACTGGAGTATTTCTATCACGTCATAAATAAAATGCAGGAATACTTAAAACTTATTATTAATACATACCTCTAGCAGATACATTCGTAGTTATCAAAACTTTTTCTTTACCATCTCTAAATCTTTTTATAATGGCTGCTCTTTGGTCAATCTGTAAATCTCCACTTAATAAACCAACCACGTGGCCATCTTTTATCATTTTTTCTGCCAACCAAGCAGCATTTTTCCTTGTCTGAAGTTACGAAAAGCATGAATTAATAATAAAGATAAAACTTGGATAATTGCAAACAAAGTGTGATTGAAAGTTATACTAAGCAGGATATGGGTTTTAAAAAAAGAAAATGAAATGAGTTTACTGGACATTAACATTCTACTTTTCTGCACCAACTGGGATAAAAAAATGAAATGAAATGGAGTTTAACGTCCTACTTTTCTTCTCCAACTGGGCTAATGAAGACGGGCAAACACCATACAGTGCACTATGAGGGAATTTTGTCCCAGGCAGCAACGCTATGGCCTACTCTTATATCAAATTACAACTGCACAGAATAGCATTATGATTTTCATTTGACCACATAGCTCCCTGATTATACAAAAGAAAGACTACAACAAAATACTTACATGACAAAAGACCATAGATTGCCCTATTGATATTGTACCATAAATATTAGACAAGGCTTTAAATTTATCTTCTATATTGTCACATTCTATATAATATTGACGAATATTGTCCAAACTTTCCTCCTCCCGACGTAAACGAATAGTAACAGGGTCGTTAGGAATTACAGCTTGGGCAAACTCAATGACATCTGCATCATACGTCGCCGAAAACAGTAACATCTGACAATTTTGAGACAAGCACCTGGAAAAAAAATATTTGTTCAAATGAAAATTTATAACCATAATTTACATTGTCTGTGATACTACTGTAGAAACAGAAGTTAAATACCAACCAGTCAGACAAAATTTCAATAATTTGTTTACATGTAGGGGTCTTTAGCAGTGGGAGAAAACCAGAGGACCTGGAGAAAACCCAAAAGGTTTGACAGGTGAACCTACTCCTTGTCAGGTATAAACATTGGGATTAAAACCATGCCAATTAATTCAATGAAAGACCTTATGACCTAAGGCTACACTCCTGTATCCAAAGATCAAACCATCTGGAGATCTGAGTGAGAAGTTTTGTTGTAGCAAAATTTCCCAACAGTTCACCGCAAAACTTTGGAATAGTTAAAATGTAAATTACCAGTACTTGTCTACTTCAATTATGTTTCCCTTCGTGACAAACCAGTTCTTTAACTGCTAACCATTCTTATTCTAGATAAGAAATGGCCTGGATTGATTTTCATATTTTCAACCAGTGACTTCCATGTAATTAATATAACTATTGTCCAGGGACTGTGTTTAATAATCATTAAAACATAATCAATTATTTATAAATGACTCGATTGCAACAGGTATTAATTTTAATTACTTTCATTATTATTTCAACTTACTTTTGAATACGTAATGACTGATCTTGATGACCTTGAGTAGCCATCATAACATCAGCTTCATCTAATACAAAAACTTTTATTTTACGTAAATCAAAAAACTTATATTTTATTGCCCAATCCATTAAGGTTCCCGGTGTGCCTATTATAATTTGTTCTGATATCTTCTGACCTCTTTCAACTGAAAATAACAAGTTATGGTAGATACATTATTATATAATGCTAGGTAGAAATTAATTTGTTAAATAAAAACTAGTCAGTGATTTGCGTTTATATATTAAAATTATAAGAAACCACTCATTATAGAAAAGAGTAGTGTTATTGAGTTATGCAGATTTATTCATCGGGACTATCAGTAACAATAGAAAGATAAGTAACAAAGATACATGTATAAAAACAGTTTTGCACTTCAATGTGACAGCGTGGAGGCCTAGTTACTTATGTGCAGTGTCTATAGATCATATTTCATTAATTTCAATATGTATTTATGTCATTAATCTTCAGGTTGCATCAATTTTTTGTTTTACAGCATACCTTCGTAAAATAGAATACTGCCATTAAATCAATAGATTAACACTATTCAATTATCTATATTAATGTTGATCTATATCATACATACTTCTGTTGCCTTTGACAGCATATTTTATTTCTAATTCTGTCATATGTTTTGCCATCTGTTCTGTCACATGACCAATCTGTAGTGCTAACTCATAGGTCGGTGCTAGACATAAACACTGTTCATAAATAGAGAAAAAAATATCAACTTTAAATATGTAACAATTCAATTTCATGTGTCAGACTAATGCTCACTTGAAAAGTTATTTATTAGATTCAAGTATTTGTAGTGCATTGGGTTTTTATGACACAGGCAGTAACTCATTGAGCTATTTAAATTTTCCATGCGGTTTCTCCTTGTGACTAGCCAAAATTTACAAAAACTTTTGAAAACATTCCCAGCCAGTTTGGGGAAAAATCTGACCTGTTATGTATTTACAAGAATTGTGAACAGACTAACTGTTTAGCCGATAAAAGGTTTTAAAGAATCACAGCAAAAATCTAAAAAACTCAGACCTGCAGTGTGTTTACAAACAGATGGACAGAGATGACACTAATGTGGGTGTATTAAAAAACAAAAACAAAAGCAAGATAATAGTTAGTGGAGTCGATGACAAATATAAATCACACAATTGTGTGAGAGTTACAAAATAGGCCAATTTCGAGGTTCATTAATAGTAGCCGAATTAATATAATATACCTGTGGATAATGTTTAGCAGCATCAACACGACTTAACATAGTCAGAACAAATGCTGCTGTTTTACCAGTACCACTCTGACTCTGGGCAATCATATTACATGGGCTGTTAATATAAAATACATATATATAGCTACATGTACATGTAGATTGTAGAGGGAAATGTTTTCAAATAACTTAAATTCTTAAATAAATGTATTCATCAAAATGGCCTTTCAGTTAATAAATCTTTACAAATTGTATGCATTTAACATATTGCTATGATAAAGGAAACCTCAAACTGTTACCATTTGTTTATATTTTATTTGTGTTTATAGGGTATGGAGTGTCGCTGTTACAGAAAAAGCACATGGTTTTTTGTTGATAAATAGTAACTGATAATTACCCTGATAATGTCACATCAAATCCAGCATCTTAATTTGCCAATTAAATTTGAAATGAGTTTTATTTCTGCGTGAACATTTTTAAACTACTTTAATATTCGATAATGAATAACATTTACAAAAGGTCAATGGCTGGAGTTCTTGTTTTTAAAAGCGTACTTACGGATCTGCTAATAATGAAGGCAGTGCCGTTTCTTGTATTTTTGATGGTGCATTAAATCCCATATCATATAAACCTTTAAGTAATTCTTTTTTTCTACAATATAAAACAAATATATCAATATCAGTTCTAATTACATATAAAGCAGATGCAAGTACAGAGATATACCTCATAAAAAGGCACCAAATTGTATGTGACCATGCCTAATGTTCTTATATTCTGAAAAACATCTACCAAAATATCTTGCATGGCAGATTTGGTTATTATTTATACAAGTGACACATTAAGGGAGAAAAGTACACATCAAGTTTGTTCAGAGTTGACTATGTCAGAGCCTTTTCTGACAACTGCTTTTGAGTTACATCAGTAATAGCATAATGTAAGTGTAAATATATAAAATATCTCAAAGTTTCCATTTTAATATGGCTCATCACCAAGAAGTACTAGATCATATACTTACAAATTAAGAGCTTCAAAACTTTTAACAGAGAACAATGGAGAATTGGGATCTTTTCGTAGAACTTCTAAATCAGCTTTAGTTGTGACAAGTTTGGATCGGAGAATTTTTCGTAAAATTGATTCATCTTCTTTTGATATAGCTTTGTCTTCACCAGCTTGATCTCCTTCTCCTGTAGACGTAGCTGGTGCAGGAGTGCTATTTACTGAGGAGGAGGCAAGTGCAGCATCTCCTCCTGCCCCGGATGGTACTGCAGTAGAAGAAGTTGTATTGGTAACAGGAGGGGGTGCTCCACTAGTCTTGCCACTATCTTTATTATCTAGCTTAACTCCACTAACCTATACAGATAAAATAAATAACAAATCAATCAATACAGATAATAGTATTGCTGTCCACTAATATCGAATAATAAAAAAAAAAATAAATTGATCAATCCTACTTGTAAATGTATTATATTTAAAGATATTTGAAAATGTCTACATGGTTTTCTCTACCTGTGTTTCTAATATGTTGAACATGTATCCTTACATAACATTTCTACTTTATGGAATAGAAAGGTATATGGTATTCAATATTAGATAATGTTCACTGTTAAAGGAGCTAAATCGCTAATATTTGGGACCTAGAAATTGACCCAAATGGGTCGCAACGCATATAATAATGTAATCTGATTATAAACTGATTTACATTTAAATGTTTCCATTTTGGCTCTAATTTCAAATCAGTTATGTCGAGCAAAATACGGCATGAGTCTCAACCGAATGAAAATTTCTAACGTCTAGTTATTCTAGTCTATTGTGCATGCTCTCCAGATAAGATATGGCGTCACTGTTTGACATGAGTTGCGGAATATGTCTAGCCTCGTTCTTTCTGGTCACTTGTTGCAAATGACGCCGAAACGCACTATGGTACACGATTTGTGTACCAATGGTAAAATGTTTATTTTGTCTTAAATATTGGATGTCAGAAACCTACCTTTTCCCGGTAAGATCACAACATCAATGTTGATTTGAATTGACAAATAATTTGTGTTTTCAAAATGTAAGACCTTGGATGCTATTGAGTTAGAGACTTAGCTACTTTAATATTTAAAAATTTAAAAATATGAACTAAATACTTTTGAGAAGAGTAAATAAGTATGTTTTGTTCTTTTCCTGAATAAATACAAAGAAAACACTGCCAATTCAAACTATTAGTCTGGATGCTACCAGTTTCAAAATCAAATATGGTACATTTTGAATCTAAGAATCTTGCAAATGAAAATCTAATATTTCAACACACATTGCGATTTCAGGACAATCTTGTTTCAGAACAATGTAGAGACAGTTTTAGGAAATTCAACACATACATCTGCAGGTATACAGTGTATATTGCTGAAGATCTCCAAAAGTGTATAACAATTTCTAACATGTTTTTGATGCATGTAAATATGACACTGTAAATAAAAGAAATAATAACCTTTGCAGCCAAAGCTGCCTCCTGAGCATCACATAATGCACCCCAATCATCACCCATTTTTTCACTTTTTGTCTATTAACACTATTTATCTGAAAAAGAATGAAAGAGATTTTAAAAAAACATCTTTTTTAAAGGAAAAACATATTTCTATTTTTAAGTAACAAAAATTAAAACAAGTTCATTTCTGTCTAGAATAACCCTGTGGGTTTCAAGTGAGCCTTGTCAAGTTGTGAAATAAATGGCGGATTCCATTCCAATACAAACTATCCACAAGAAGAGAATATAATGCTGTCAGCATGAAAAAAATAAGAGAATAAGACGAATCGCAATTTGCAAACTTGGTCTGTAACTCTGTTACACACCCTCAATCGCAATGTTATTTACATGTCTAGTTGACAGTATCACACTTTTGTCTTTTTAAAGGTAAGAATTTCTGCTTACTTTACATTTGGATGTATGAATGGTGGTTCAGAACCCTTTCTTTACTTGAATCCATGACACCTTGGACCAAAGACCACTCAAACCAACTGATATACCACTCGGACCAAACAAAAAGACGTCTTGGACCATAGAAAAAGACCACTCGGATCAATAATAAGGTGTTGTTTTAATAAATTAATAATTGTGTTTGGTTTAATATGACTACTTAATAATTGTGTTTGTTTTAATATGCATCTGTTTTCATTGAAATAATAAAGTGTTATGTACTGGTATTTTTTCATCATGGAGCACATCAAAGAAAATCAATCAACAAAACATTGATAATTGAGTAGTGATTATTTCGTATGTAAATGTACTAACCAATGTTACAAGCTTTTTATTTTTAGTGTTTTAACCCATTTTCTATATATTACTCCTTAATATGTAAATAACTTTATTAAATCAACCTGTCCATAAATTATATAATATATTGTTGATGTAATAAGGATGAATATTTGCCATTATGCACTTTAACTACTTACCCATAACGAAGACATTGTTAAGTTATGTATGTACTCACCTATAATTTATTCACCTCTTTGTATTGTAATTATTATGATTTAATAAAAAATAAATAACGACATATTTATTTGATTTAATAATAAATACATATTATAACAACATATTTATTGTCTGTATATTATTTTTTATTCAACCAAGTGGTCCTTAGGGTTGGTCCGCGTAGGAAAACTAAATATTGACCCGTGTGGTCTTACAATATAGATTAATCGTCTGAGTGGTCCTTTGGGTTGGTTTGAGTGGTCTCCTTTTTGTTCCGACTGGTCTTGGTGTGAGTGGTTTTTGTTCCGAGTTTTATGGATACCTGTTATTTTAGCATATAGTTATACATTTAGTTCTATTCCATCATGCATGGTGCCTTTAAATGGGCGAAAATAAATTGGGTTGAAAAGCACATCCTATTATTATTCATGTAAATTGATTTACATTTATTTTTAATCTTTTTCATAGTAGGCCTAATTTCTTATGTCAGCAATCAAAACTCAAACTGATTAATAATATTGTGATGTGATGTGCTTTTCAACCAATTTTCGTCTATTTTAAGGCTCCATGATCACAGAATTGAACTACATTGTATCATATACGCCTGTAAAGCAAGGGCTCTAAACTACCACTCCTACATCCAAATGTATACTGCCAGCAAGTAAATAAGACATGTAAATAGCATATATATTACATCACAAAATGCAACAGCCAGGAAGGTTCAGAAAGAAAGAGTTTTTGGCGTAAATGAATTATACAGGCACTAATGATTATTTGGGATAACAGAAGTGGGAAAATAAGATATAATTTATAAAGGTACTGTAAGATACAATGTTATAAATCTAATACTTTTCTTATAAAATCTTACCAAAACTATTAACTATACTTTCACGTTTTTCACTTTACCGGCAAGAAACGGAAACTGCGTACTTTCAAGTAACAATAGAGTTATCTTTCCTATTTATAAAAGAAGGGTAAACCTAGCGATGACAATCCAGACTACTATAGTTCATCTTGAATCTATGGGAGACAACTCCTTTTCGCAACCAAAAATGTTTACAGGGTAAAGACTTCTGCTGCAACATTCTTGCATGACCAAAATTTTCAAACAATCCAATTGTGCTAAACATATTTCTGTGGGTTGATTGGTTCAATTTTCCTAGCAGAGGTAAATGTGTTCAGATTAAGTATAAAAGTGAGGCGTGCCACTGTGTGTGTGGGTCTGCTACAAAGCCATGATCACTTCTTCTTGGACAACAATCCTACAATGCAGGAAAAGGCGCATCAAATGTGCATCTATTTGGTTCCTCTTAGCTAGCCCACAGACGCTTATGATGAGTTGTCAATGGAAAACAGAACTGATACAATTTATAAAACGAAATGCACTCAAAATTTCTAAATTCCCTAGACACCAAAAGGATATTTCTAAACAATTTTAACTGCAAAATGAGTTCAAAATCAAATAAAAAGGGTTATACAATGATCCCCATACCCCCAGCTGGTTTACTCGTAACCTTCAAACTTTTGGTCGTATGGTTTGGTGCTTCTCGTGGAGCGCTTACAAAATCTATGCCGATAGCTACACAAACTTTCCACTGACCATGTTCAGCCAAGTGATATCCGGTGTTCTTCAAATGCCGCTTGTATGATACCTGTAACTAACCAGTTTCTGTATTTAAGGGTCAACAGTGTTGACTCAACACTACCTTTATATGATATTATGTTATTGTCTGTCTCTGTATTTAAGAAGCAGCAGAGCCACAGCAGCTCGGTGGGTATGACACTAGCTCACCAGCAAAGAAAGTTGTTTAGGGTTTTCCAGTCTGATTTCCCCTGGCAAGCAAAAAGCCCCTAATTGTTCAAAAGGGATGAAGAACTGAGGTCCTGAGTACGCACTGACTTGCAAGTAAAGGAACTCCTTGTAGCTGGAATTTAAAAAAAGCAGGTGGAAACAACATTGTCCAGGCAGATATTTCCCCTATAGCACACAGCATGACATATGATGTCTTTATTAACCTCATTGCTTCAGAAAAACTTTAAAGAGCAACAACCCAGAATAAAAGTCCAGTATTACCAGTATTCAAAGAAATCTGGGGGGTGGATTGCGGTCTGTCATTGAGTCAACTGACCTGGTTTCGATTCCCTGGTTATGTGACAAGGAGTAGTGTCACCTGTCCAACCTCGTGGATTTCCTCCCACTGTTAAAGACCCCTATGTGCAAGCAAATTATTGAAATAAAATTGAACCATATGTTAGGCTAAAATGTCTAGTTTGTGTTAGTAGACCTTACACAAACTCTCTCTCTCTCTAAAATCAATTATTGTAACACTCCCTCTTTGATCTACAGGAAATAAAAACATGTCAATTTCACTATGTTGATTTGTTCCTCTATGGGATGACAATCTGTTTTCATTGAAACTTTTACCTCATAGATAAAGCAAATGTTTAAAACAAAACTAATTTTGTGTTCTATACAGTAAGTTAAAAAAATAGTTAATAAACTGACCTTCGCTTAATCTTTTGAGACAAAATTTATTGGTAATGGTAGGTCCCATCAGAAATCGAAATAACACATTAGATCAACCTAATTCGACACTCTATTTGAAACCAAATTAAATAAGTTTAAATTCTGAGAATAATATACTATTCAAAAAAAGTAGGGGATATTTGATTTTTAAGTGTTATTAAAGAAAGTGACGAAGAAACAAATGACAAAATGAAATGAAGTTCACATTCATCGATTTATTCCAAATGATCGTTAGACTAAGTAAGGCACAGACTGACCATTATAAGGGTAAAATGATACCCGGGGTCAAACAGCAAAGTTACCACAGCATCACAACCAAGTCAGTAACGGGTAAATCCTCCTCTGTTTGCCAAACAAGCATTGATCCGACGTGGCATACTCCTAATGAGACGTCTAAGGTCATTTTGGTCCAGATTGTCCCATTCCTGTTGCAACGCAGCAGCAAGTTCTTGGACATTGGCAGGACGTTGTTGACGTTGACGTAACCTCTGTCCAAGCATGTCCCAGACATGCTCGATGGGGGAGAGGTCGGGACTCAGTGCTGGCCAAGGTAATATGGTGATGTTCTGTTGTTGGAGGTCACCTGTAACGATCCTGGCCCTGTGACATCTTGCGTTGTCATCCTGGAAGATGAAATGGCGGCCATGGCGTCGTGCGAACGGCACAACATGGACTGCCAAGATGTTGTCCCGGTAGTACTGGCCTGTAACACGCCCTGCAACAACATGTAAAGCCGTTCTTCCAGCAACAGTGATGCCTCCCCACACCATAACAGAACCACCCCCAAATCGATCATGTCTGATGACGTTAACGTCTTGGAAGCGCTCGTTTCGACGACGCCACACCCTCCTACGTCTGTCCAAAAAATCAACAGGGAACCTTGACTCATCTGAAAACATCACATTGCTCCAGCGTCGATTATCCCAGTGTTGACGATCCCTACACCAACGACGTCTTGCCTGAATGTGATGATCTCTCAAACAAGGGATCACGCGAGGACGTCGGGCGCGAAGGTGACCCCTATGCAGTCGATTCCGAATCGTCTGGCCACTCACTCTCACACCAGTGTCTGTTTGAAGACGAGCGCTGGTCTGATTTGCTGTGATGACACGATTTCTCAAGGCCAAGGTACGGATAAATCGATCCTGGGCTTGAGTTGTCGCCCTTGGTCGACCTGAGCGTGGTCTGTCCTGTACAGATTGTGTATCACGGTATCTGGACCATAGCCTGCTTATGACAGACTGAGAAACATTCATCGTCCGCGCCACAACCGCCTGTGTTGTGCCGATCTGTAGCATGCCAAGGGCACGTAACCTTTCATTTTGGGTAAGCCGACGCATATCAAAATTTGTTTTCTGGTCACTAAACCAATTAAACTGATGTTTCCACCCTGGAATTCAATGCCACAATGACTGTAACATTCAAAGTCAGAGTCGTGCAAATCTTGGGTTGGACCCCCATGATGATACCAAGCATCACCTGCATTCCATGCGGTAGCTATTGGTGCGTTTGGGCGTCACATGTAACTGGAAATGTTTCTTCTGTTAGGTTCTATAGTGACTTTTTTCGTAGTCATTTGCATATTTTAGTATTATGCCCCCAAAATCAAATATCCCCTACTTTTTTTGAATAGTATAAGTGGTTGTTGATTGCACCTAAAATTATATTTCTAAATTAGATTATAATTAGAGTCTATCTTGAATAAATGGAACATATTTTTGGATGGTTTGTTGTATATTTCTCCATAATAATTTTTGAAGAAATCAACACATGCAATGTACCCCACACCAAAACACTTGGCAAATTAAAACAATTTTTTTTTTTTTAAATTTCAAATAAATTTCATTCAATATCATAATAAATTTATATCAATTTCTCATTTACAATATATACATGTATACAAGTAACTACAATGAATTTATAATCCATGATTTTCAAAGTAACAGATACATATATATAATTTATACACATTATTACATAATCTTTAAAGATGAAGTTAGGTCAATTATTGCACCAGCAATCTTAATTTTATAATGAATATTTTTTATCTTCAGATAACAA